GTCTGAAAGAAAACCAAATCATTTAACTGAAAAAATGTATACAAATACTCCCTCCTCCCCATACACATACTTTTCTGTATGTAATACAGAAAATCTAATGGAATCGTTGAGATTTTGTTCTGAATTTCATTTTTGAGGTCTTTGAACACAGTTGTAATGTTTTGATGAGTAAACAAGGTTTTCCTGACCCTAGCCCCTTTTAGAAAACTATGCCTCCTTTCTATACTTTTACCTTATTTCAGAGTTTACTTTACTTAAACCAAATGCCTGGCCTTCAACCTTTATTTGAGAATTGAGGGTATATGCTTGGAGTTCCGCTCTTATAATGGAGAATCCCTGATGAAAATCAGTAGGTCTTGAAAAACTTTTGGTCCATTGAGAAAATGTTCTAAGTAAAAAGCATATGGATAAGGAAAATTGACCTACCAAATAGGTCAGTGATTAAGACCCTCAACGTGTGAGTCTGTCGGTCCTTGACAAATAGCTACTTTTAAAATGAGCCACTGGTAGTTCTAGATGCCCAGGACTATGCTTTATTTCTCTTTCTGACATTTACATAATCTTGTTGTTGGAGAATTCACATGTATGATCCACTATCCTTGGTCAGTGCAATTCTTTATTGAACTCATTTCCATTGAAACAGTAATATTTATATCTGCGTTGTTCAGTAAAATATTAATAGCAAAAGCTAGCATGAAAAATCAACAATTCTTTCCAATAGTGTACCTAATTCATCTGGGTTGCCAACTGAGAGATATCTGGACAGTCCTTCCTTCATCACTCATTTGGTGGACAGTATGAGTGGTGGTGATAACTTGGCTCTTACAAATGCCTACGCAAATCTGCCTTAGTAATGTAATAGACTCACCCTTCATTAAGTGAAAACAAAACCTGTGATATTTGAATTATTCAAAATTTAGTTTTATCTTCAAAATTCAACTTCAGCAAAAGGAGGATGGCTTTCACGTGTCCCTTTATGAAGCTTGCATCTTGGTAGGGCTTCTATTCTTATATAATAATAAATATTCTCAATACTTAGCTTTATTTTAAAGAGTTAATTTTTTTTTTTTACAGTGAAAAATTTTTCATGTTTAGAATTAACCAGCTGGACTCAGTTTAGATGATCCCAATTTTGTTGGCAACATCCAGCGTCATAGTCAGGAGCCAGTGGAACATATGCCTTCTCCCCGTCAGGCCTGATCAGGGTGTTGACCTTGGCCACATCAATGGCATAGGGCTTCTTCCCAGCCTGCTGGATCTGGTGGCTTGTTGGCCTTGCCATCACAGTGAACACACGTGTACCGTTGTCTTCCATCTTCTTCATAGCCAACTCGGTAGTTAGGGGAACTTGATGATGGCACAGTGGTCAAGCTTGTTTCTCCAGGAGGCGCTCCAAGGATACTTAGGCTGCCTTCGGAGCCTCAGTGTCTTGGGCCCTCCGAAGGTGGGTGATGCGCGGATCTTCTTTTTTCTGTGGCTGTGGATGCCATTCAGCACTGCTTTCTTTCCTTTGCTTTGGTTTCAGCTTTGGGAGGGGAGGGGCTTCCTTCATTGTTTTTGGGCTCATCTTCATGGAAAGCTATAGAGTTAATCTTAATTATAGCAGCTCTTATAAACCTCTTTATAGACAGAACTAACAATGGAAAAACATCTTAGAAAACTCACATCATCAAAGAAAATTCTAGTGAAATAAGAATTTTCTATACAGATTAGTCAGAGAAGTAAAACAAATGTTGTCTTCTTATTAAGCTATTACCTCACTCACTGTTGAAAACATGAAACTGATGAGAGTTACAGTATATCATTTTCATAAAATATTAGTTGTGGAAGAGCTAATCTCCAGCAGGCATGCCACGTTATTTTTTCCTATTCATTCAAATCCAAAATATTGCTCATCTAAACTTTCTTTGTTAATCGCTGTTACAGTAAGTCTGAGACTGCAAGATTCCCAGTAATTCTTAACCATCTCAGGACTTGTTCACCTTAAGGTCAGTTATTCAGCTCTGGCAATCATTAACAAGAAATCCTCATCTGCTATAACTGCATGAATTAATAACAAGGAAACCAAGAGATTTTACTTCAAGAATTTGGACTGGCAAGCCACCAGATTTATAGCATCGCTCCTTCTTTGCTCTCCGCCATCCCATTTTAGTAGGGAAAGAAGTTGCTGATGAGGTTCCGTCGAAGGTTCCCCACCCCAAAAAGCAGCCCTGACAAGCATAGCGATGGAACAAAATGCTCTGGAAGCAGAGAGGAGGGGCCCTGAAATCTGCTCTTGGAGTAGCTACAGAAGGTGCCACACAGGAAGTGTCCCTTGGCCTGACTCCTGAAAAGCCAGGAGTTTCTGAGCAAAGCACATGGAGGGGAGGATTTGTAGTGGAGGAAGGGGTGTGCGCCAAGTCAGTGCGAAGTTAAAGACCATGGGGTTTTCGGAGAACTTAGTATACTGATAGGGCTGGAGCATTGACTGGGAAGGAGGTTGGCTAAGAACTGTGGCCAGATTTGCAGCCAGGAGTCAGACAATGATGGAAGCTCTGTGCCCTGCTCAGGAGAGTGGTTGGTATCCTCTAGCCAAGATGAGATACTGAACATTCTGAGCAAGGGAACCTCACTGACAGGTTTGCAGTTTGGTGGGGAAAGGATTAGCAGGAGGGAAACAAGACTGGAGATAAGGAAACCAATTAGGAGTATGAAGAGTATCAGGAGAGAGAGAGAAATGGCTATGACCAGGGAGGGACCGGAGTAGGGGCCAGAAAGGATGACACTTAGATTTCTGACTTGGGTGACCAATTGGATTCTCTGATGAAAGGAATATGGGAGAAATAGAGGAGACCTTCGGAGGGGAGTGATAATAAGTTCATAGATTATGAACCTCTCCAATAGGTATTAGATAAATGGTTCTAAAGAACAGAGGTCAGCCCTTGAGGGACTGGGAAATCATCAGTATAAAAGTGATCGTGGAAGGATTTCTGAGTTTCTTTCCAGCCCTTCGATCTTGTTCAGTGAATAACGTAATGTCGTTGACAAATGCCCCTTTCAGAAAGTCTAAAATTAGCAGGGGCCTGGTTGAGTGATTTGATGACACTGTGCAGTTCCTGCTCTCATGGTTGTGATCAGTAAATAAGTTGTAATCCCAGCCTTATGCTGACATTGAAAATCTAGCAGAACAGATTTATGGGGAGACTTCTGTGGGTTCAATGCTTCAAGGGGATTCATTTTTTTTTTTTTAGATGTAAAACAATTTCATTGAGCTTTCCGTTCAAGTTGGGGAGATAAGATGTAGAGGCAAAAAAGGGAGGCTAAGAGGCGAGAGATTTGTCACTAAGGTCAGGAAGTGCAGTTTGGTAGGAAGATAGTAATTTCAGTTTTAGGCTTGATAAGTTTGATGTTGTGGCAGAAGATCAAATGGAAATGATTTAGAATGGGAAGGGTTGTGCCTGGAGAGGAAGATTTGGGATTTATTCCAAGGACCGTGGTATTAGAAGTCTGGAGAGTGTGGAAAGGGTGGAGAGGGGTGTACTGAGGACACAGCAGATCCCAGGGAAGGACTGGCAGACGCCACTGTCAGTCTGTGACAGGGAAGGGCTAGCCAAAGTGGCTATAGGTAGAATGAGAATAATGTTCTGTCATGGGTCATGAAAAGAGACAGTTCAAGGAGGGCATGTTGACCAGACATCGAGGTTAAGAGACAGTCTCTGAACTTATGGTTGATAGTGTCTGTGTTAGGAACTCTAGGAAGGGAAGTGAGACAGCTGCTGAAAATCACTGACTGTATCTTCTTTTTCTTCTAGAAAGTTTTTTGGGCGGAGCCTTAAAAAATTTAGACTAAGAAAAGCTCAAGTTTTTGAACATTAACTCCCCAAAACTAAATTCTGTCAAGTGCAATTTAACTTGTCACTTGCTTTATCACTTGTTATCTTGTTTCATTATTTGAACATAAAAGCAAAATCTTCACATGTTTTTGGATACAGTAATCGCATTTTTGTTAATATTTCTTCACAAACCTTTATTTTGGGACTGTGAAGTCCAGAGGTGGACAGGACAGAGAGCCTGGCAAAGGGAAGTGTGCAGTGTGGCAGTAAACAGGAGGACAGGGATGGGACTGAAAGAACGGTGAGGGAAATGAATAACGGTAAGGATAAAGAAAAACTATACCTAAAAGTCCGCTTGTAACTGTATAATTGAGACGTCACTTTTATGAGAACATTTTTATTAATGGGGGAAAAACGTGCAGGACCACTCACTGTCTGTCATCAAGTTTATAAAGAACAAAATGAATTTATAAGTTTGGCCACTGGCTAAGCAGCATTGACATTAAGGACCTTGAATGACTTGGTGACAGGAAATCTTTTTTCATGAATAACTGGGACTGGCTGGCTACACAACTGAACTCCTCAGATTCTTCATCTCTCTTGCTCCCTCCCCCTCCCCTTCCCCTCCCCCTTCCCCATCTCTCTCCCTCCCCCTTAATGGGAATGCCCTGTAGACTTGTTGAAGTTTTAACCATTGCTCAGGCAGGCAAGTGCTTCTTTCAGCCCACAGTTCTGCAAATAGAGCTGTTAGCATTTACCACAATCAAAAAAGGTGACAATACCTTCCCATATTTCCCCTGTAGGAATACGAAAGGTGGGACAAATAAGTTCGCGAACATTCCACCATGAAAGTGCACAGTGGAAAGTTCACAAACTTAATTGTCTGACCTTTGTATACAGTACTCTCCTTCGAAATAGCGTTAACAACATTGAGAAAATACTGACCGTGGCAATTGCAGTAGTCATTTCAGTTTGAAAACATTTCCTGAGGAACAGTAAATGTTTTCTCATAGAACCCAGTGTTTTGTGTAAGACATTTTCATCAAAACATTTTATTTCTGTGTAAAATGTTTTTAAAGTTCATTCTTTGTAAACGTGATCATCTCATACTAATCGGGGTGTGTTGAGCACCTGTCTCTACATTAATATCTGGTGTTTGTCAGTCTGTGTTTTGTGTCTTTTTTACAGATATTGATGAATGTGTAAACAACACTATTTGTGACAGTCATGGGTTTTGTGACAATACCGCTGGCTCCTTCCGCTGCCTCTGTTATCAGGGCTTTCAGGCCCCACAGGATGGGCAAGGGTGTGTGGGTGAGTTTTTAGATTTTTTTTTCCCCCAACATGTTTCCTATCTCCCCACGGAAAAGAAATCAAAGTTATCAACAACAGAAGAGATCATAAGCAAGGTAATTTGGACAAAGTTTCATCATGATTTGATTTGGTCACACAATTTGGGGGTGTGCAAAAAAATATATTATGGCTTCTGAAATGGTTAGGGGTATAGACGTATGACTTTGAATTTAAACGTATAGTAAGAAGAACATCTGTTTAAACTCTTAGCTGAGTACGCAGAACTCTTCAGTCCCCCTGCACAGGAAATAGAGTCTGGTGTGTGGTATAGCTTGTCTGTCTTCTTAGGCAGCAGCTCCTTTAAGGAAAGGTGTTGGCAAGAGTTTCAGTTTCCAGGAATGATGCCCATAAAGCAATGCTTCGGATTGTGCACCTCTCTCTTTTCACTCTGTTCTGGGATTGACTGAGCTAGCAGGAATCTTGAAGAGCATCAGATGTCCTAGATTATGGTCCAGCTCATGTAAAAAAGATTTTGCATTTCATTTTCTGACAAGCTGTGAACTCTTTAAATTACATTCATTATGAAACACATTTGCCATGTAGAGCAATTAAATGGGAAAGATAAGAAAGGTTATTAGAGTCAAACCTTCACAGATAACAAGGCTTCTTCTTTATTAACTCTTAATTAAGAAAAAGACCTGTTTATTTCATGGCCAGTGGCACTTGAGGAGGAGCCAGTAATTTCTCAGTTTGGAAATTTGCAATTAAAGCATTAATTCATTTCCCATCCAGATTAAACTGGGAAAACAACATCTCCGTATTTGGAAGTTTGAATGATAAAATCACTTGAATAGTAACCACTTTTAAACTAACACTATCATATTCGCTGGTTCTAATTCTTGCTTTAGTCTCCTTTTCGCTGAAATACAAGCCATAAAGGTCATCTGACATTCACTAAATATTTTGACTTAATAGGTCATGTGATCTGACCCCTACTTATCTTCTCAGCCTCACCATTTCTTTCCTCACCTTTTATGTTCCAGCAACATAAAACTGCTTGCAGTTGCTCATGTAACTGCAGTTATTTGGCTGTCGGCTCCTCCTGCTGGGAGGATTCTCCCGACCCCGCCCCTTCCCTGAACCTGGACTTACCCCGCTCATCCCTGAAGCCAGAAGTTAGAGGTCATCTCCTTCCAGATACCGTCCCTGCTCCCCCTCTCACTCTCAAACTGAACTCTGACCCTTCCTCCTGCTTCTAGACTGCCTTGAGTAAATTCTATTAGAGGACTGAGGACCTTTTCTGGAGTAATTTAATCATGTGTGTACTGCCTGCAGCTGCCTTCTCTCAGGCAATAGGCTGCATGTGACTGAGAACTCTCTCTCCCCTGGCTGGGCCTAATGTTTGGCCTGTTGTAGGTGCTCAGTAATTATTGTTCACCTGTTCCCTATTGAGATATCGGCTGGTAAACCACTGACTCCACACGGCTCCGGAACCCCTGGTTCGTGTTCATTTCTAAGCAGCCAGATGAGCTCTCTGAACCCATGCCATGTTTCATTTCGGCACACAAAATGCCACCTTTAGAGAAGGACTAGTTGTTATCACTTAAATGAACTCAACAGGTGTCCTTTTGTCTATTTATTCACTCTTTCCAAAATATTAGCTGAGTGCCTATAGGATTTGAGAGACAGTTGAGCCCTGATCCGAACCTGTCCATGCTGTTTTCTCTGCTAGGACCCTGGCTGCCTCCCCCACGACGTCCACCCCTTCTTACCGTTCAGATAGAGCGTGGTGCCAATGCCAGTTCTCTAACGCACCCTTGCACGTAGGGCCAGTATCCTGTGCTTTCACAGTGCTCTGTGCTTTGCGTTCTTAGCACTTATCACGGCCTATGAGATTGTCTGATTAATTTTCCTGACTTGACTATAAGCTCCATGAAGACAGAGGTTGGGCCACCTGACTCATTGTTGCCCCAGTGCCCTGCCCACGGACGTGAACTACAAGAGATTTTTCGATCGAATAAATTCAGTCTGATGGGTGAGGTTTAAGTAGCCGTGTAAATAAAGGCAATTAAAAAGGAGAAAGTTCCATTTGATAGTTCCCTAAAATTGATAAGTGTGAACTGGCAAATTTCTAAAGTTAATTTTTCTGATCTAAATTATGACTGTCTAGGTCGATTAAATGTACCAACTCTTTGATTTACTTTATGTGACAATATTTTTTCATAAGCAAAACCCAGCTCATTAGGTTTCTATCTGTTTACATATAAAATGAAATGAAAAACTGAGTAAGTATTCAAATAAGTCAAGGTACATAAACTTTTTGTTCAATTAACTGGGTATAGCAGGTAAAATGGGAATTTTTTTTCCTGAATGATTCAGGTAATTGCTCAGATTTTTAACTTTGCATAAACCATCTCAGAGTGTTCTTATGAAAACTGATGTTTGTACACATTCAGTGCAAAATGCATGAACATTTCAGATATCAAGTCAGGTGATTTGCTGAGTTGGTCACTCATTCATAAAAAATTTTAGGAGGAAAAAAGGTAAGAGGTAGTATTGGGTGAGGTCAAACATAAAATTAGCCTTTCTTTAGGGCTATGTACTTGCATGATGTTGAGTAAAACGTACTCATCAGTAGAATCCTTGACTGTCTTTTAATTATATATATTTAAGCTCAGAAGAAAAACATTTAGCAAAATAAACTGCACTGGAACACCAACAGCATTATTAAAGCCACAGTGCCATCAATCACTGAGATGTTATTGGACCAATTGGTTTCACGTGAGCAGTTAATAGAGCCCAATGACTATTTACAGGGGCCTTGCCTTCATTTCTCAAGGCGCTCACACAACCTGAACGCTGGTTGTTAAATTATGAACATTTCAGCTGCTAGAGAACTGCATTTTCAGACATTCGAGTGGATTCAAAACCATTGCTTAAAATGAAGTTAAAGAACACTATGGTTTCTGCAGTGCCAAGACTGCTAATTTTCCCTGAATTAAGAACGGATATAAGTGCATTGGGTTAAGACCTCATGTTGTTGAAAAGTTAGGGAAGAGAAAACAGCAGTCCAAGGTGTGTAGGATGCTCGCAGTACAATTCTGAGCTGATCTTTAAAGCCAGAATTGGAATTTGGATCCTTTGCGTTTTCCTGGTCCTTTCATACAAACCATACAGCCCCGCCTCCAGGAGTCCCCTCCCAAAAGAGCAGAAGGGTTTGACTGCTCACCGGGGATCACCTGGCTTTCAGGAAATATTTCTAGCCTTGGCACAGCTGGTAAAACAAAAAGCTGTCAGAGCGAGGCATACGTCTGACTTGACCTGTGCTCCCTTTTCCAGATGTGAACGAATGTGAGCTGCTCAGTGGCGTGTGTGGTGAAGCCTTCTGTGAAAATGTTGAAGGGTCCTTCCTGTGTGTGTGCGCTGACGAAAACCAGGAGTACAGCCCCATGACGGGGCAGTGCCGCTCCCGGGCCTCCGGAGGTAAGTCACAGTGGCACCGTGTCGGGCCTGGAGGGCTCCTCCCAGGGATCTGTACCTACACAGATGGGCTTGGGCCAAACACTCCGGGAGTGAGATAAGAAATAACCAAATGTTCTGGCACAGTGCTGTTTCTGGAAGCTTCTATGCTCTTTCTGAGCCTGCCTTATCAGTGGAATTAGGATGTGGGTGATGACTGGCCTCTAATGTGCTTTCCAACCCTGAGATGCCATGAGTTAGGATACAGGATCCAAAGTGATGAGAACATTTACTGGGAATTGCTGAAAACTCAGTGAGCCATCGCTCAGGGTCTCATACAGCATCATCTCATTAAGTTGCATAATCCTTCTTTCTTGGCCCTTGGAGAAATGTATCTTGACACGTCTCTAAATTCAGAGCAACATATAAGCCTCTCAGGATCTACAAAGACTTCCACTTGGAACTCTCACCATGTTTCGCCAGCATTTGGCCTAGGGAGTTTTGCATTTATTTAAAGTTTGATTTGGGCTGTGTCGTCATGGGACACATTGAAACGGACAGAGGATGCTTTTCCAGATAAATGAGTCGACCTGCCGATCTCCCTTTTAGGTTGTGCCATGTCACTCACCACAGCTTGGTTGTGTTTTAAGGGAGCAAAAGACGAAATGGTTCTTTGAGAGCCAAATAAAATGACACATAGAGCAGTTTACTTCCTTTGTTCAATCTCAGTCGATTTTATCCATGCTTCTAAGAGAGCGTTCTCTGTTCTGTAATAGGGTGCACTGGTTCTGTGTGGAACAATTATCTGTGCAGGTAATAGGGAACAAAATATAAAAATACCTATTTTCACCCACACGCATTTTTCCTCTCAGTTATTAAATATAGATGTTATTAAATATAAATAATGTGATGCAATGGGAAGTGAAAAGACAAGGTATGCCAAAGATCACAATCTGTGGAGGGAGAGAAGGAGAGAATACAGATGAAGATTATTGGAATTAATGGAAATTTTAGTTTTTCCATTGATTTTCCAAACTTTTTGTGATACTTTAAATTGGAATGACCAGAGTTCTGGTCTGCTGACTACTTTCCAGCTGTGTAAGCGTGTGCATGTCAGTCAACATCTGTGAGCTTGGAGTTTCTCACCTGTGAAAGAGAAAGATTACATTTACCTCATAGAATTTTATGATTTTTTAAAAAAATCATATATATAGAAGCCTTTTGTTAATGGCAAAGTGCTATATAAAGTATGAAAATAGTAGTCTATAATCAAACTTGTAAGAGATATCTGTTTTTCATCCTTTTGTGAGCTCTTCTGAAATGGTGGACCTTGTAAAACATTCTCGCTAGAATGTTTTAGTAATGCCAAGAAGTGGTTCATTCAGCACATATAGCTTCAATGAGGGTATATGTCTGGGATTCTCAAGTTTGCTCATTTTTTTCTTTTCGAGATTTAACAGTGCCTTAATGGGATCATGAGACCACCTAAACCATTTTGGGTGAACTGGACTAGCTCTTATAAACTGCTTCTTAAAACTTGACGGTGACTTTTTGTCAGCCTTGTTCCTCATCTCCTGTTTTTCATTTTTGTGTAACTAAGTCCCTTTGCCTTTTTCCTCCCTTAGTCTCCTTGCTCTCTCATTGCCTGACTCTCCTTCTGGAAAGTTCTTCCAGTCAGAGTTCACTAAGTACTCTCCTGCTTTGTCAGAGAGCATTGTTTTGAATACTCAGCTTCATAAAGCTTGTCTGCCAATGAATACATAGTTTCTCCCTCTTCTTAACATTATTTAATCTTTTTATTTCTGGGCTTCTTGCTTATTTTCCCCATAGTTTTCTGACTTCTACTAAATTCTCTACATATTCAATTGTTTTATTGGTTCATGTCAGTATAATCTGACTAAACAATAACCAGTGAAGCGTATTCATTTGTGTAGTTCCTAGTATCTCTGATCCTACCATACCTCGATTTGTATAGTTCTTGGCAAATTTTGATGATATGGATCTTACAGTTATCTGTGATGATATCTTAATCATAGTGTCCTGAGAGACAGGTCAGCTATAAAATGCAACAGGAGCCTTCACAGAGCCAATAATTGATTAGTTGTTTGAAAAAGGTGATTGAATCTGCAAATCATAAAAGATAACATCCATTAAAAATTTAAATTTTAACTTAAAGCATATAAATGCACATTCATTCTTTCTTTGAGTGAAAGTCCATTGTTGAGAGTTCTGCTGGCCTGTCTTGTATAAACCATATCTATTATGCATTATGTACACCACCAACATTAAAGGGAATAGGAATTTAAAGGCCTTTACAAAAGTAAGCGAGTGCAAAATCTCTCTAGATTATTCATTGTAGTTTATCTCAATTTTTTAAAGTTGTCTTATCCACAACTATTTGATAGCATTCTCTTTGCTGAATAAACTTTCTAAAGCTTTTTGTTCTAGAAACAATTCTTCTACTCACATTTGTATTTTATTGGTTATATACTGTTTGATTATATAATTATAAAATCAGTACACTGGCACAGAATGTTTGAGAATAAATAGAGCTGAGCCTTGGTCAGCATACGGTTCAACATGGAAGATCAGAAGTGTGTAGTCCTGCCCTCACACAGGGCATTCTACCTGCTGTGGGCATTAGCCAGGATGTTTTCAAAGGGCAAGAGAACAGCCGTTAATCCAGCAAGTTGGTTACATGGAGGCTAGAGTTTGTATCATACACCAGCCAATGAATCTGCTGTTACACAGAAAAAAACATTTTTACCAAATTTTAAAGTTTTTTTTGACAAGGATGCCAATGATTGTCATTACATCCATGCTAGGCTCATGGATCTCATCCTTTCTGAAAAGTAATCAGGAAGTATAAATTTGCAATATAGACTATAACATTTTCACTTGGCTGTAAGATTTCCCCGGGACCACGGATGGTCCAGGGGTGAGCAGTAGCATAATAACCTCAGGTGGTATCATACCGAGGGCAGAACTGGGACTTAGGGGTGGGCGTCAGAAGGGCAGATTTCAGATCAGCATGCCAAAGAACCTCTCGATAACTAGAGACAGTTAGCAAGCACCTGTCTCATGAAATTGCGGGTGTTTCCTGGAGGTATGCAAGGACAGGTGGGGTACCCACTGGCAGGAGGCACCCGTTTCCAGCAGGACGTTGTCCCAGGTGGCCTTTCAGGTACTTTTGAACTTTTAATGTCCTAGGATTTTTATGTCTAAACTACGTCTTGCCTCCCACCTAATTTTCCTTAGGCCTGGTCTACTGCTTTTCACTGCTTGGGCCCTTGGCCACTAATTTACATTGCTGTACATTGCTGAGAAGCACCTGAAGCAGAAAGAACTAAAAAATGTCCCTACCAGACCACTCATCACGTTTAAGAGGGCACGGATGTGAAATGTAGCCTGATGCTTTCATTTCCTCGGTGCCTGTGATAATTGCTCAATAAAAACTTTATGTCCTTGGGCACTCTAAAAGAAGCAGTAAATATTTAGTCTTGGCAACTGCAGCCTTCAAGCCTTCCCCCCAAATACTGTTCTCTGTCTTGATTAGTGCATAGAGGAGACTGTGGTAGGAAAGGAATTTTATTTTTAAAACAGAAGGTACAATGTAGGTGTTCCTCACTTTAAGAAAAGGAAAAGAAAAAAGAAAGAAAGAAAAAAAGACAGCATCAGAAATTATAAAACATAAATTGGAGTGATTGATTGCATTCTAAAATAATTGTTCTTAACACAATTCATTATAGGGTTTCCTTAAATATCATTTTTCTCTAATATATTTGAGAGCTTATTCTCACATCACAAGCTAGACCCTAGACAATCAAGAAAATACTGTAGTGGTTTGCCAGCCAGCTCTTTTATTTTCAGTCAGGAAGCCACAGTCCAGAGGGAAGTTCTGAGTTTTATTCCTAGGGTCATTCCAGCTGTTGCTTGGTAGAATTGGCACAGGCACCCAACTCAGGGGTCTTTCCAGTTCCATTCTACTTCTCGAGGCTGAGGACCCCATTGCACCAAATCCTTCTAAAAATGGGCTTCATGTTCACTTTATTTCTTTGTTTTGTTCTCATTGTTAAAATAATGCACCTTATTCCTAGAAAACTGGCAAATACAAAAATATATCAAAAAAGAAAATCCCCCGCAGTGTCATCGTCTAGGGATATTCTTTGTCACCATGTTGACTTCCAGACTCTTTGAAGGCACATCCATACCCCACCCCCCAACCCCACCTTGATAGCACTGTCTCCCATTTGATCCTCAACATGCTGAGATCAGACCTCAGACTCTTCATCTGCGTGAAGCTCCTTTCTCTTTGGTCCTCAGTGAGTGTGTATATGCTAAAGCCATTAGTCTCCTCACAGACGCCATCTTCAGAAACCATGGTAATGGTTTCTAATCTTCCCTCCCTTCTTTTCCGTTGGACTGATTTCAGGACATTACTCCTTCCTGTATCCTCTTGCTTCTTGAACTGGTCTTTTTCTATCCCATTCTTAGACTCTACTTTGTAATGCCCAGTCCTTAAATAATAATGTCTCAGGGAGCTCCACATTTAGCCCTGTCTCTTACTCTCTATTCTTCTCTTGGGATATTTTATCCTCTCCCCTGAGTCAACGATTACTTGTAAGATGTAGACTGCAAGTCCGCCTTCTGCCTCCACTTCTCTCCTGACTGCCATCCTATTATTTCCAGCTGCCAATGATTGGACCTTTCTCCTAGGGCGTCCTGTCAGTGTCTCTGCCTGGTAGAATCCAAAACCAAATTAATTACCATTCCCTCTCCAATCTGTTTCCCTCCCTGTGTTCACTCATTAATTGCCAAACATCAGTACTGGAAATCCTGAAGTCAACTTTAACTTCTCTCCCCGTCCATCCAAACCATAGCAACATCCTGCCCATTCTGCCTCAGTAGTACCCCTCGGATCTCTCCCTGCTCCTCTGTTACCGCGGCCCTGGGCCAGTCCTTCAGCGTCTCTTACCTGGACTCCCGCTGTAGCCTCCTGACCTGTCTTCCTGCCTGTCCCATCA